ACCGTGTCTGATGATTCAACCTCTTACCAATATCCTTATTGAGGATACCTTGGACAGCTGAAACTTATACATTGATTGCCTTTGGGTCAAACTATGATGACAATGTATTGATTATCAAGTTCAATTTTGAGATTCACGTAAAAGACAGGTGTTAGGGAACACCTTAAGCATCACTAAAGTTATGACCTTGTTGCTTCTTAGTAATTTGCTACCAGAAGATGTAATTTGAAAAATAATTTATGATGCAATGCTTCATACTTCCTTGATATTTATTTTCACCCTTTTGGCTGATTCATTCTGGCATCATGTGCATAACAGACTCCATCTACCATCAACGTAAAAATATTATTCCAATGCCTATTATATTAATAATTGGACGTATTTCTATCAAACAGAACTATGTGCATTATGACGTGAGCCCTGTTATGCATGTATTCTTACGGGTCTCAGGCCTCATGTCTTAATGCACATGATTCCGTTTGATAGAAATACTTCCAATTGTATGTCAATCACAAATATAATTCAAATATCATACCCTTTTCACTTGAGGAAATAGTTAGGTTATCTATGATATGTGGGGGTGTTTTTGGTGTTCCTTCTTGCTGTGAGGTTGGAGGGGTCCTGGAACCTGAATCTATGATACGTGGGGGTGTTTTTGGTGTTCCTTCTTGCTGTGAGGTTGGAGGGGTCCTGGAACCTGAAAGAGGAAAATGCAAACAATTAACATTGTCCACCTTTTAACACGATTGACTGTAAATAAGCCTTGATACGTAGAAACATCGATTGGCCACCTCAGAAATTCCACCAAAACCCTTCCAGCTACTTGTGCTGAGCTATACCATTTTCATTGGATTCATAATTGTATGATCATAAATATTTCTTTTGGCTAAAAGGATTGGATACTTGAGAGAATGATTGTGTCAGCAGAGAAGGAAATGCAACTCTTGATAGTTTCGTAAGCCAATTTGCTTGCTTCCTTTTTTGAATCTCCTATCCCAAATGCCTGATACAACTTATACCTTGTGCTACAAGTAAGAAACCAAAAATTCCGCTACAAAATATTCACTGGTTTTCGTTTCGGCTTTTGACAAAATGCCAAAAACATTTCTTACCTTACCCTAGTGTTCCTTCTATTGTCATGACCAATGTCCTCTTTAATTTCTACCTAATTCATACTTGCAAAATACGAAGAAAATGTGGTGCCTATTTTACCGTCTTAATTTTAGTTCAATTTCAACCGAAGAAACGACTTTTGAAGGCACCAAAAGTCCCACCTCATTTTGAATGAAAAGCTACCATGCCAACAGTTTTTGTCATGGCACTGGAAAGTTGACGTCCTCAGGTGTTAGTATACAACCTGTTAATGTTCTTCTAGATTCGTCATTTGACGTTCTGTTGTCCTGCCACATGCAATTAACAATTTGACATTCGTTTTTGTAACTTTTGTTTACCTACTTTTCACCATTTGAACTCGCATTAAGACAAACCAGAATCACAAATATAGAAAGCCTTTTAGAATTCCGTTTGTGGTCGTTGAAACCATGAAGCACCACATAATAGAATAATGCAAGTAATAACCAAAACCTTCTCCTGCTCCGACTTTTGCTCAGTGCCACTCCATTGTCCAACATCTCATGTTCCTTCGAAAGCAGCTTTTTATGACTCAGAAAGTAGTTTATTTCTTTGATTATTACCCAGAATATCCATCATTCGAACCAATTTCCACCGCCCCATTGTGAATTCCCCCAATTGAACAGAGCATCTTTTAAATGTTGGAGGGTCCAAAATTTTAAGAACCACATCTTCATCCATCATTTTGACCAAAGAGGGTGAAATGACCGTGATTTTCTCCTAAATTTTGAGTTACTAAGTTGAAAATCCACTGCTTATTACATGAAAACAACCAATTTATCATTCCCCCCCCCTCTTGAATGTAACCCCTGAATCTTCTTTTTTCAAAGCAGGGGATCGTCAAGGCAAAAAATTTTGTCGGGCAACAATATTTTCTTAATACTGGATTTCTGTCTGAAGAAGTTAACATTTTTGAGAATGCTAAGTTTCACATTAGATACAGTTTCTCCCCACAATATGTTACCTCAGTTTATGTAATTTGTAAAATAATTGTTTTTATTATAAACACATGAAGATACGAAGATACCCGCTCTCTTTCTCTTCCTATATACAAAGTGATTAAAGATATGTTTTACTGACTGAACCACGGATATCCCTCTGAACGACATTCACAGAATGAGGGTCTTTCAATATCTCATTATCCACCCCTCATGTCGATAATGTCGAACAAATATCCAACTTCAGGAACATGGATATTCAACAATTATTATAATGAAATTTCACCTTTAAAATCAGCCCAAATAAGATTACGAAAAGGGACTATAAAATCACTGAACAAAGATGAATCGTCAAACACCATAAAAGTTAAACCCATTCAAACTTCACCCCAATCTGACAAATTCGGCCTGTTTATGTTATCTTTGGGTAAAGGGAGAGATGAGATGGAGGCTCCACATCCCTCCGGGAATCTAACTGTGCTCCTTGCTTACTTCAATCATTGAAAGTCTTCTTTTGTTGATTACTAATGCCTATTTATCTGGGGAGCAACTGACTAAAAATATGGGATTTACTTTTCTCGACAACACTCACCTCTCTCAGTTCTCTTATCCTGTTCTGCCTGTCTTCTTTCTTCGCCTCTCTTCCGTCTGTAACGTTCTTTTTCTTCTTCTTCTTTGCGTGTCTTCCTTTCTTTGTGTCTGTTCCGTCTGTTACGTTCTTTTTCTTCTTCTTCTTTGCGTGTCTTCCTTTCTTCATCTCTCTTCCGTCTGTAAGTTTCTTCTTCTTCTTCTTCTTTGCGTGTCTTCCTTTCTTTGTTTTTCTTCCGCCGGTAACTTTCTCTTTTCTCTTCCTTATTATGTCTTCTTTCTTTGTATTTTTTGTATCTGTAATTTGCCTTTTCTCTCTCTTCCTTGTGTTTCGTTCTTCTTAAATCTTTCTCCATCTTTCGTTTCTCATCAAGTCTGCTATTCTCATACTCCAATAACCTTTTCTGCCTCTGTTCATCTCTAATCCTTTTTTCCATCTTCTGTTTCTCAATTTTGAGGTCATTTAATTTGATTGCGTCCAATGTTTCTGGAAGAAAAAAAAGAACTGGTTATTTAGAGAAAGAAAGATACCAATCCATGTAATGAAGTTGCTGTGAAATATATACTCCCTTGGAGCGGAAGATGATCATTGGGTGACGGGAAAAGAAATCCTATCACAACTTTTGTAACGAGTCTATTACTTTGCTTATCAGTGAAAACCTTCTGCAAAGACATAAAATCTCATTTCCTTATGAAAATGAAATATCTTTGATACCAACATCTTGATTTCAAAGATGAAAAATAATTGTCTGTCTCTAGATGTGTCTGTGTCTTCGAAACGAATTATCCCGGGAGTAAAATAAATGGAGCCTCTAAAAAAGGTTACTGTTAGCAAATACCACTATTTATGCTAGGACCGCACCCTATCTTATTACCATGGAGTTGGACCATCGCCTATTTTACTTCCTTCATGGTACAAATGGTAATTTTATTTTACTGTAAAATCATTCTCATCTCTCTTTATGAACCAGACAAGAATATTCTTATATGCCACAGAAGAATCCTGTGATTTTTCATCTGCTTAACAACGTTAGCCTTTCTGCTGTTGTTATTAGAACTTTACAGTATTCATGATACACAAGTTGTCATAAAAAAAAAATTACAAATTATTCAATGTTCAGATAACATCTCTAGTATCAATATAGAAGTTGTAAGTTAAGATTTTTCAGAGGCAAATTCCCCACGTCTGCAGTCAAAATGAAGCAAGGACCTCGCCCAGTAATTGATCATGTATTTTCCCAGCTGAATTCAAACACTTTCCTCCATTAAATGATGATTCCTGGGAAAATCAACGGTTCCCAAAGTAAATCCAACGTCCCAATACGCTGGGTCATGTTGGGAAGAAACTTATGTCTCATTTGGATTTTGTACCTAACACTACATACTTATACATCCATCTGCATGGCTGTCATCTTTCCATCCACGAGAAAAACAATACAGATGTGCCCCGATCTGTAAGTACCAACAACGTAGAACAGTGGTGCATTCCCAATATTCTCTCCGTAAATCAACACCAAAATATCCAATAAGATTTTATTGCATTCAAAAATTCGATCACTCTTGACTATCAGACTAAGACTGATATTTTGAGATGCAACATCTTTCCTTCCCGAAATCTTTCCTCAGTTACCGATGAAATCCTTCCATTTACGCTTGGAAAATCTTATCCACTCGATTTACATTTAAAAGGAATGATTAGAAATTGGCTCTGAATCGATGATAAAATGCGTCCTGTGTAATTTTGGTACATTTCTAAAATAAATAAAAAACAAGAAGAAGAAAACTTACATACCACGTCGGTTAGCATCGTTCCGTACAATGCTACAGGATAAAAACCCTATTGTTTACTTTGAAATGATGCGGAAACACAACTTCTTCCCACTATGACAATTTGATTTTTCCCCCCAAAAAATGTTTTCTATCCCACCCTGGGACATCAGATTATGTACGGATATTTATTCAAACAGTCAGCCATTACAACACATCCCATCTGGTGCAGTTGAACGATTCAATTCGGTTCCTGCGTTATTTTAAAACGACAATTAGCAAAGTAGATATGAAGTGTATGTTTTATGGAGTTCTACCTCTAATCATTTTCCTTAGAGAAAATAATGTATATTCATCACTGACAATGTTCTTCGACTTGTTCAATTTCCCGATAATACCAAAATCGACACAGAAATATTTACAGAGATTCGTTTGACTTTTTGTGAATCTTTGTTACTAAGAACCCTTCCTGTTACCCATTTATAGAGGAAGGATTTATGGCAATAAAAATTACGGGTGCATTAGGAGCCGATCACAAAAATTCAAGATTTAATGACATTTTTCCTTCGGCTCCCTTCAACCTTTTACACTTCAATATCATGTACAGACTTCCTTAGATTCTCTCTGCCTTATCAGGAACTTACCGCTCAGTTCCAAATGTCTCAACTAAAAAAGAGTCGTTTATCGAATACTTCCGTAACATGCGTGCAGAAAGTCCTCGATTGGACGATAGCACAATGAATGTGAAACATCCTGAAGAGGGGAAAATATGTGAAGGCTTTGGGGATTTTCTTGAATCTAGCGTAACACATTTTTATTTGAAATTTTGTTGAATGGTCGGATCCACTAGGTAGGTGTAGGAAACGGTTAAATGCGTTATTTTCCAATAAAGAAATGATTAGGCCTGCTACTTTCAATGGAGGAAACTATGTAACTCCTCCTGCGTTTGTGGGAAATAGTGAAGCTCACACTCATACTCCTGTGTGAACATCAATGTAAATGCTACCTGAAAATATGTGAGGAGAGAAACGTCTCATGGGGGCAGTTAAATGAAGGGACTCATAAAAGCTGATAACCCAATGAGCTTTTTTCATCCCTGTCTGTACATGAAACCTGTCAAGAGAACATCCATTTGCCTTACAATACATGTTAAAATTGGTAAGAGCATACTATTCTTACTTTTTTTGAAGGAGTTTAGGACTGTAGCCGCTTCCTCCACACTGCCAGCTGGAAACAAGAGGAGAAGAAAATTGATTTGCATTATTCAAATAAAGCAACTGCACAAAATAATTTTACCTATGAGGCTAAGAAAAAAACAAGGCAGTCAGGTTCCGAAATAGTCTATTGAAAGGCAACCATGAAGACTTTTCATTCGGAATTTACAAATCCACTGCTCATTCCACGGCTGGTTCAATTCCCGCCCAGGTGGTCTGAGTTCCATCGTCTCAGGCCATAGCAACCTGGGTTTTGGGTATTGAGCATGCGATTAGGCTGATGTTGTATTTGAAATTGTTTAAAAAAAAATAAATAAATAAATAAAAATAATTTAACAGCATGGATAATAAAGGCTTCCTCCTTATCATTCTCCAGTGAATTATTTAGGCAAAATAACAGTCGGTAAACTCGGTGGCGGCCCGTCAAAACCCTTTATATTGAGCTGTAAGGAATAAGAAAATGATAAATATTGGGTGCTCAAAGCTCATCATGCTGCGTCATTTCCTTGGATTGTGCTCCAACACCTCTCACTTTAATCAATCTGCACAAAAGTTATCTGAGCCCAAGTAGCAAAAGGAAATCGTTTCATGAAAAAAATTTAGAAAATAAAGAAAAAGTAGCTACCATATGGAAATTAGACAGGAGATATAAAGTGAGTGTCACTATTTACCAAAGAAAATAGATCTTTCTTCTGTCTACAAAATGGATCGATTTTCCGTCTAGAAAATTGATAGGGCTTTTTCCTTAAGAAAAAATATCCAAAAACCTGATGGAAAATAGAGAAATATTGGACATTTTCTTTGTCTATTTCGTGGCAATTTAAAATTCAGAAAACAGATAGAAAAAAACACAGAATGTACACAACAAAATTGTCTGTTTTCCTTGCATTTAGTGTCGGGAACATAGACAGAAAATAGAAGTTTTTTCAATAATTTTCTTACTTCTATTTTCTTTCTATTTTATTTTTCTGTCTAGAAAATAGACAATTTCTAAATTAGTGCTAGACAGAAAATGGAACTCCATGCTACTTGTGATGATAACTATTAATTTTTCCTTTCCTATATATCTTGAATGTTGTTCTTGTTAATTTGATAATAGAAACACCATCATCATCATCATCAACGGTGGGGACAACGTCAAAGTAGTGTCACTGTGAAACAAAGAATCCTTTTGCCGAAATTTTCCTTGCACGGGCGTTTTGTTTCTCTTTGATCCAGAACCAATACAGAGTCTGAATGTTCCTACTTTTTCTTTCCATGGCACCTCATACTGCTACCCTATTTGCTAACACCAATGTATGTAGATTAGTTTTGTTTTTTCAAGTTATTACATGAATCCCTGATTTACAGCATCCTGTGAATGTAATTTAACTGAAAGATTTTGGGAAACTTTTAACATATTTAAGAGCAAACTGTGGAAACTTTCACAGATGGAAATAATTTAATTCCCTGTATGGCTGACAGATGAAGCAAGAACCAGGTGGTAAAATAGTGCTGGGTCCACACTATTTTGCAGGGGAAAGAATGCCAAAAAGTTCAACAATTTCAATTAGAGTCAAAAAAATTGGAGATCTCATGAGTACCAGTACAAAACTGAGAGGGAAGAGTGCTCAGCTCAGGCAGTTTGCATTGGAATATTAAGTTGACGTCAGGCCGAGGGCTCCATAATGTTTTGCGTCTTTTTGGACTTAGTCAGTAGATTACACTAGTCAGTGAGCCCAACTTAACATCCTGCAATACAAGACGGCACCAAAACGCTGTCATGGATATGACCGGAGGCATGACACAAAAGTGTGCCCCACGCTATCTCCCGTCGCTGCTGAACAACTCTTGGAACAAAACAGGGAAAACCCGAAAAATTCATTAGTAGGCAATTGGAGATGCGAACGTATCTACACTCAACCTCCCGCTCCCGTACAGGGAAAAGATATGATATCATATTATATCTCCTTGTTTCATAGAGTTCGGGCTACATTTCTGGTGTTTTTTCTTGAATCAAGAACTTATAATGATCACCAATCTAAGTGCGTTTCTCCCTTACCACAAAGTTGTGTGCTTGAAGGATTGGGTTAATTACTCTTCATTTATACTCTCTGACTGTTCATTATACCCTCAAATAGTTTTGACCTCTAAATCATAGCAGATCTTGGTAGTTACTTACATACATGCAGCGCTGCCGCTGCGATATTCGGGGGCGGCTGAGGCGGCCCCATTGACCGGGCCAAAATGGTGGTCTGGTTGATGAATGAATCCATTTCGCGGTTGTCCTGTTCCACAGAGAAGAAAGAAAACAATGTATATATGAGGGTGGCTTTAAAGTAAGTTTAGCCATTTAATAACTCTGAAAGGATTGATGTTAGGGAGGCAGCTAGACCGCCTTCAGAACGACCATATCACAGCTTTGAGATGAAATCTTTCGAATTGCAGTTAGAGAAGACATAGCCATGGTGGAGTGACTCCATGCTGAGAATTTCAACTGCTGAAGTTTCATTCTTGATGGATCGGTCTTCATAAATAATAAAGTTTCATTAAACTTACGTCAAAAAAAAAAATGATATGCTAAAAAGGTTTAACATGAACTTTCCACTTGTCAGGTGAGAGAGTAAATTCATTTTTAGGAGAGGCTAGGCATGTTACCAAGTTACCTGACAAGTTCCTACCACTCACACGGCTTCTTTTATCTGTTCTTTTGCTACAGGATTAACAAACCAGGGCCTTGAGAAGATTCCCAATTCACAACAGTATTGACTGAGTGTTCACTATCGACTATACTTTTCTTTGTCTGGAACGATCAAATTCATGTTAAGCATCCTCCCCATACCAGAACCTAACCCTTACATGAGTCAACATTTCTGTGAAAATTGACCAGAACCATTAGGTAAAGTTAAGTCAAGATCACTTCAGCTATCCGCAGTACACGGCATCGCTGATGAGGGAAATGGATGTTGAAAACTCCTCCACTGAACGATTTTAAAACGCAACATGAGGGAAATGCAATGTCAAGGCCGTCCATCGGGGTTTACAATGCGAATGACTGATTCTTAGATATCGGTGCATGAACTTGGAAAATTTCAATCCCAGAAAGTGAGTCATGTTTCTTTCAAAATGTTTTCTCCACAGTATAATTAAGTCATTGAAGATGAGATCATCAAGTGCTTTGGTGAAGAAACAAAAAGTTCCCGCATGGTATGAGTTGAGCCATGTGTCCTGTGAATCCGGTTGGGGTTGAGGAGTGTCAATAAGATTTGTTGTTCTGAAAAATAGGAATTAAGCATATATCTTTAGACAGGAACATGTGGAGCATTTCCACGAGAAAAAGCTGTACTTACGTCAGTAATTCGGCTCCAATCCGTCCTTTTCATTTTGAATCACAAATTCTTGATCACAAATTCGTCACTATCACCACTATCTACACTGTTGCCACATGGAAATTTCGCTCGTTTGACGTATACTCGGAATTGCTTTTTATACTGGCAATTTGGCTACCCCTCAAGGGAGGAAGGAATTTACGACCCCAACCGTGCATGTTTGCCACATCAGTGAATAAATGTAAATATTTCTAAAATATCGCAAAAATCGGAAAATCTATATGTCGAAATCCCGGTCCATTGTTCCTCTGATGATTTCCGTGGAATATGTCTCTCGTAACTACCCTCCTTAATTGAAACGGATGTCGGTGGCTTCCCCTTTTAAAAGACAGTAGGGGATTCCTCTCTGAAGACGGAAAAGACGAGCTGACGCCACGAGCTCCTTTCGTTATTTTGAATTTTCGCGGGCTTAGTCTGACTGTTCCGCGCGCAGTGGCAACGGGTTGGTCCTAGCTTGATTATCTGGCGCCAAATTTAATTCCCGTGCCACTTGAAGGGCGCAGCGATGCTAATTCCCGTTCAGCTACTTAAAAGCGAGTCCCTTCTGATAGAGCCTCGTAAGAAACTGGTGAATTTCACTGACTTATAAAGAAACACGAAAAAAACTTCTCAAAGGAATAAGTTTTTGTTTACAAGTTTAAATTGTAACCCAATAAACTAGTGGAATTTATCTTTTTTTCCAAAAAAAAAAAAAAAATTCAACCCATCAAATGCATGCCCATACAGACCTCATAAAAAAAAAGAAGAGAAAAACCCACATAAACTCATGCAATGTAAAATTTATATACATGTGATTTCCCAAGATTGTTGTCTCTACATCATGCCCTCATTTGCACTGATTCCGAAGTTCCTTGTAGTACTTCATCTTATACAAGTAGCTTATCGTATTGTTTTCCTTACTTGAAAAATCTCCAAAAACAGGATGGTGCCACTGGCTCTCTCTGAAAGGAACTTTCAAGCACAAAAAAGCTTTCAAAGTTGGCACCTGTGTTACATTCAGCCTCTGTTTCCGGTCAAACTCTCTGTGCATTGATGTGAAGCGAATTCACTAACAGGGTTCCCATAAATGCAGCCTACAACTTCTCACAAAAAAAGGTTGCTTTGAAGCACTCACATTCTCTTCGAACTGCTGACGTATTTGCTCCATATATTTTCAATGCATGAAGAGTTTCAGTTAAAATAAAGGTGCACTTGGTCACAACGTTGGGAACCCCTTCAGTTACAACCTCAACTCCGAGAGCTTCTTTTGAGCTGGGGATTATCCTTCAGAAAAAAACTTTTGTTCAATCATGTTTCTTGCAGAATTGGACTTGGAGAAAAAAAATTTAATCATAAATGCATGTGGCATAATAGAGGTGTGTTGTAACCCTTTGTGAGCGTATTCTTTCATAAGATAAACCTTTCATTAGACAGATCTGGGATGGTAAAAAAAGATGGAGAGGAAAAGGGAACCGGATACCAATATCTTCTTGAGGTAAAGTAATACAAGAAGGATATGGATAAAAAAAAAGGGTCAAAATAACCATCTCCCTTTAAAATTAAAATAATATTCATTCACCCAAACCTCTTGTCGCAAGCAGAAAATGAAAACCTACGGATGGTAATTAAAAACTGAGTTCAGGGTCAAGGTTTCAGTCTCTGCTGAGCGGTAAAACTTTCTTATAATCTCATTCTAGGATCTGAAGTTGCTAATTTACATCATGGCCCCTCCTTTAATTTCCAATTGGTGAAGCCAGGCATTCCTTTGATTCAGATTTGCTTTATTTTTCGGAAAAGGTGATTCTCTCATCCCTATATTAGAGACATTTTTAAATGAAACCGTGAAAGTCACATCATGTGGCATTGCATCGGGTATTGCTGTAGACAATTTAATGGACGAATTATTTTTAAGTAACACAGGAGAGAAAGTAGGTTACATCAACATCCAAATGAGGAAGCCATCAAAATCCTTAATAATTTTAATGAATTAAGAGGACTGAAAAGAAGGAAGCCTTGGGAACTTGTGACCGGATACGACTCCGACTTCTAGCTCTGTTAAGAGAATTCAGCTTATCTGATTAGCAACATCTCATCATATGCATTTATAACTTTAATTTTCATTACTACTATAATAATGATAATGATGCCTTGCACCCGCACCTTCTTCGGTTAGTATTCTTAAAAGCTTTTGTGAATCTGCGCAACACTTATTTCTCTACTTAAAATTATATGTCTTTATTCTGTTGAAACTGTACCAAACCGTTACTCATAGCATTAGAAAAATTTTTATATTTACATTCTGGAAGGTAACAATAAACGCAACTCCTTTAAAAAAAAAAACAAACAAACAAACAAACACACACCATAGACAAAGATGACATGTTAGATGCATCTGACATGGTGGAATATTTCAGCTCAAGTGTCCTTGTTGCAGCTGGATTTAACTGCAGATTTTCATCTAAATATATCTTGCACAATTTTCCAGAGAATTGACTTCAAGCTAGAATAACCTCGATTATTAAGGAAATCTGAGATTTTTTTGCTGAGGAGAATCAATCTAATTTGAAGGAACGGAGGTACTTCAATTTTGAAAACAGCACCTAAAATCTATGCTGCTTAAGCTACCAAACTTCTGGTAATTTTTTTTTTAAAAAAAAAAAAAGTGTTGCCCAGTGTAATAATTAGTTTAATAAGGACCAATAAAGGAACCTTGATGCTCATACTTGTTTTATTTTGCTTACATATAGTACATGCAGAGGTGATAGGAGCCTAAGCTTTTCTAACGTCTAGCGTTAATCATCAGGGGCTGGTGCATACATAGTAACAGCAGAAGAGCAAAATAACAAACAACACGCACTAATGGACCACATCATGCACAAAATTGAATTAGCTCTAACAGTAAAAAGCAAAAGTTTGTAGCTGTACAGGTAAGAAAGGAGAGAGTGAGTTGGCAAGTGATAAGATCTGTTTACACACTCATTACATACTGTGCTTTACTCTCTCTGTGCTTACATACTCTTACTGTGCATTACATACTCAGCTGTTACATACTGTGTATGTGAACAGCTCTTATCACTTGCCAACTCTCTCTCTCTCTCCTTTCTTACCTGTACAGCTACAAACTTTTGCTATTTATTGTTTGAGCTATTTCAATTTTGTGCATGATGTAATTTGCTAGTGCTTGTTGTTTGTTATTTTGCTCTTTTGCTGTTACTATGCATGCACTACCCCCTGATGATGAACGCTAGATGTTCGAAAAGCTTCGGCTCTTGTCACCTCTGCATGTACTACATGTAAGTAAAATAAAACAAGCATGGGCATCAAGGTTCCTTTATTAGTCCTTATTAAATTATTTATAGATGCTACTCCAATCATTTTTAATTAATTAATAGTTCTTGGTAGAATACCATGATCCAACCAAGCCATTTCTGGTGAAACAAAGAGGGGGAGGGAAATCAACAGTACGCTTAAATTTCACTTAATACCAAATTTATTGGCTGACAGCATTATTGTAAATTTTTGTATTCTTCTTGTGCTTCTTATTTTTCTAATACTATACTAATTTGATACATTATTTCTCACTATGCTTCCTACGAAGACATGTGACAGAAAGGGAGGACAAAATCTCTTATTCTCCTTAAAATGGGAGATTAGAAGCGATCGGTCATAAGACGGTTTGAGAAACAATAACGCCCAAGAGGAATGATAGGAAATGATCCTACAGCGAAATTGAAAAAAGGACATTTAAATCATTTTGGTAGGCATCAGTGCGGCAGAAATTCATCTCATCACTGAAAATCACTCGAACACATCACATCAGTTCACACTTGATCGCATCACATCAGCCATTCCAATACTTCACTCAAGGGAAAATACATTACCATCAGTGACTTGATGTTTGGAATTTTAATTAAGCATTAGTGTTTCTCCACAGCTTGTTACAAATAAGACTAATCACTTAACTACTAAAAGAGGACAGCAATGCAAAATACATTATGCCATTGTGATGGCAATTGATAGCCATGACAATACACATGAATAGATCATGAACATCGTTCTGAAGGAAATGTTGTTGAGTGAAAAATGATGATTGGAGCAATTGAACGCCTCCAACACCACCCCAATATAAAACTCTACACTCCTCTACACTGTTCCCATTAGAGATCCTTAGTGTCTCATAAATTGAGGTGGTAGAGACTCAAAGTTAGACTCAGCTTTGAAGGGCCAAGGTAAGCTTTACAGTCCTGGTTATTTGCTCGGCAGGCAAGGAAATCTACAGCATTACAGGAGGGCTAAGATTACTTTCAAATCAAATTCTACACCAAGCAAAAATATGCAAGCAACTACAGTTAAATAACAGGATGAAAAACATATGGACTCGACTAGTTTAAAACTGCATTACAATTGTGTAAAATTCTAATGCATTTCAGCTTCGTCCACTTTTCTCATTCCTAACGTTTAAAAGTGCGTTTTGGCGGATAAGTCTGGAAGGAAAACTGAGGGAAAAATGTGTATGCACAGGTCACAGAATTAGAAGACTGTAGAGGTTGTGTTTGATGGCGATGTGACTTAAACTTACTGCTAATGGAACCGAACATTCAATTTGAAGTCCTAGGAACAGCCTGAAAAGGAGTTGCAATGTCGCGGCTGACAATGTTGACACAAGAAATCAAGTTGGTAGCTCCGATGAGTCAATGAGGATTAGCGGCCCACAAGATTGCGTTTCTGAACTAGAAAAAAATCAAACAAAGTGAATTTAGAAAATGAAAGCTGTACCAAGTGTGACACATGTGTAAAACAATTACTCAGGCAAGTAAGCAGACGATTTACTTTGCATATTGCCAAATTAGATGAGGAATAAATAATAAAAAGAGAAGATCTTTCATGCAAGATAACTCGAATACTGCAGACCAATAACTCGCAACTTTTTACAGTAAATTACAGAGAATTGATGAGCGATCAAGATTTAGTTTTCATATTTATAAAAAAAAAGGATCACGGAGGAATTCTCCTACAAGGGAATTTCGATAACTTTAAAATAATTCAAATACCCCTTTTCCAGAACTTTTTCCCTGACATCCCAACATCCCCTATATTTCCCTGTGTTCCTTAACTGCAGCAATCCTGAGATTATACATACGACTTTGTAACATTTTGCAATAAATCAATGACAGGCAAATTCCAAATTGTTTCCCAGAGAGAAATGTAACAATTCAGAGGATATTGCGAGAAAAAAGTTGACTAAATTTGTATGTTTGATTCACCACCGAATTGATACAATTTTAAACTACCTGAATGCGTATTGGCCTATAGGGATACGCTTCCATGAGAAACCATCGCAATATCCTAAAAAAGGCACACCAAGTGTAAAATTTGACAGCTGAAATTGGCAAGGAAAACGTTAAAACTTTATGGAAAACTTCCATTCGTCGAATGACCATCAACATTTTTCTTCCTCTGAGATGGATGAGGTCAAAGTAATTTAACTACCGTGTAGGTACAAACTGATTGCGGTAGACGCACTCAACGACAGAATGTTGGAGTTTTTTTTGCCAACGTGCGTTAAAAAATTCAGCATAAAGCTGAAAATCTCAATACAGAGGGAAAAGCTCATTCGAGCACAAATTTTGAGCGCTGCACTGAGGATGGCCCAACAAGGCCGAAACGTGTCTGCAGTTACCTTCCTGAATGGACGTAACTAGTGTTGCTCCAAACAGCATATCTCTCAGAGGGAAATTTGTTCTCGAATGAGCTTCTCCCTCTGTATCGGGATTTTCAGCTTTATGCTGAATTTTTTAACGCACGTTGGCAAAAAAACTCCAACATTCTATCGTGTAGGTGATGCCATGTTTGAAGATATAGGCTGAGTGGAAAAATTTTGCAGTAGAGACCGCTTACGATGACACACGTTTATGAGAGAAACCCATCTTTATCCCTATTTTTGCGCGGGCCCGTTTTACCGCCCATGACAGAAAATTAAAAAAATCCTGCATATATTAGATGGATTTTTCCGAACAATATTAAGCCAGGAAAAACGAATTAAGAGTTGCATGATTTGAGGTTCGATCAAAATACGCTTCACGAAGAAATGCAAAATGTTTCCAACAAGATCCATGAGGTAGCAAGTTGTTTCATGCCTGCACAGGGTAAAATGCAAAAGGTAAAAATTGCGAATCGAGCTTGTTAACTATCTTCATCATTTGTCAGCATGATTTTAATGAGTATTTTTGCTGAAAAAACCACTTTATACTTACAATTGTGAGTAAATTATCAAATGAGAGAGGAAACCAGATGCTCCCCAGCTCTGGCACAGTGAATAGTGTTATGAGGACTTTATACAGGAGGACTGTGATTGGCTATGACCGGTGGACACATTTCAAAGAATTTACAAAGAGCTGCAGGATGAGTGTTGGAAGCACGGTGAAGTTCACTGATTCCCATATTTTGTTTAAAACCTGTCAAAAGCACAAAAATATGTTTGACTTATGTATACATGATGGCGGGCAGCATGATGAGATGCTAAACATTGAAAGGTTACTCATATGAGAAGGAACTAACCAAGACTAGAAAACATATTTCTCTTTAAAATTATGGAGAGCACACTATATAAGACATCCACATCATTTGGACGGCATTGTAGAGACACGAAATCAGACATGAATCTCCTCTGTAATTGATTCCCAGATGAATCATCCTTAAGTGATGGAGGTACAATGAAAACTTAACAATAATGGGCTTGAATCGGACTCCTTTTTATCTGAAGATTAATTATATGAAAATGAAACACCAATGATTTAACCATGGACACAGAAAGGCTGTAATTGGAGATAAGGTGGAAACTTACATCACTGGTGGACATTCTGCCATATAATAATTGTTGGCCTCTTTCATCACATATCCTGGTCACAAATGAGGGTTCTTTCCTGATTGAATGTTTAGGTATCTCGTAGACAAAGAAGTCAGACAGTATTTATTCACAGGGATGGACCCATTAAAAACAAAAACAGAAACCAACTAGTGGCTAAAATTTAATATTGTTATTGCTTTTGATTTGTTTTCCACAATTGGTAGTCGAGAAGAGGAGATGAAGAATTAAATTAGGACAACTTGAAGGGTAGAAATAATTAAGTGATCACATGGAGAGGTTCGAAAGAATTGTGCTTGTCCCCTTTTAATTCGTGACTATAAGATCCATACACAAGGAAAGCCGTTTGAATTCCAACAAGCCGTTTGCGTGAGAAATAATCAATAACTACTCCTTTATTAAATTGAGAATGAAACATTTATCAATTAAAAATGAAATTAAAAATGATGATTTAAATTTGATAACAGTTTATAGATACCAAAGAAGTCTTTAAGAGTATGAAATGTATTTTTCAAAACTTACTCTGTCTTGAAAGTAATCCATAGGAACAGTTGGAGGAAAAGCCTCAAGCTGCGGGACAATACAGACGTTTTTGACGAGTGAAACATACAACTCATTAATGATGTCACCCAAACTGATGAATGGACTGCTGACTCTGGAACAAAAGCTCCCGAAGCCTCGAGAGCAGCATTCTTGGGTGTCTCAGTTCCCATATCTGAAATAGGACAAGAAGCGGCAAGAGTAAATTGAACCTCTGACACGCACATAACTAAAAAACCAAAAGGGATTTCTTAATGAACTGTCGAAGTTCCATATATTTTCTAACAAAAAAAAAAATCTTAGGGCAAGTTTGAATCTACACATAAGTATTAGACGTACGTCAACAATATTATAATAAAATCTCGCTGCTGGTTGAGCCTGATGTAACTCAGTAAAAGCAGTGATTTCGAGAGTAACAGGAAACCTAACGATGGTAAATAACAATTTTGGCAAAGTCAAGCTATCTACTGTAATTCTATGAGGCATTCAATCAACATCATTTTCGGGTAGACTCTTTATGTGTAAAGAAACATGATTGCCACGTCTAACAATGGTGCAGGAAAAGAGAGTTCCTGAAATTAAGGATTACACTGCAGGCAATGTAAATAAGCATGTCTCTCTTGTAGGATCTGACAAGAGTAAAAATGTATTTTCATACAAAGGTTAAATTTCTGATCTAACACATTTTTCTCTAAGAGCCTTTCCTGTAAAGAAAAAAACCATCTTCATTCAAGAAAAGGAAAAGGAGATAAATCTTCTTCTCATGTGTGACAAACGAATGACAGAGGTGAATGGTAGCCTGATTGTTGAAATTTTGGGTTTGTCGGGTAGACACAGACGACATAGGTTAAAAGGCGAGCCTGATTGGTCGGCTATGTCTTATCGGTGTTTTGTCGTGCCTATGTCAGGTGGAACTCACAACAAGCTAAAGGCACCTCTCAAGTTTCCAACAGTATGTCGTCCATTCCACCTGTCAAAGGCACAATAAAGCAGCGATAAGACATAGCCGATCAATCACGATCCGCCTTTTAACCTATGTCATCTATGTCTGCCCAACAAAGACAAAATTTCAACAATCAGGCTGCGGGTGGGACAATAGTATGGTCTCTTGAGGATTTTCAGAGTCACTTACTTGAAATACTCTTTTCCTGAATTAGCAGTTTAAATACAAACATCTGGGTCATTTTGATACATAATGATGTGGTCCATGAAGACAGTGCGAGTGTATCTATCACCTTCGATCGCAACATCTTTGTTCACAGCATTAATTGGCTCCAACACAATGTTCTTCAGTTCATTGTTCGTACCTCCCGACATCGAGATGTAAGCAACACTGGGAAAAAAGAAACCAAGAATTGGACGCTGCATATTTCACTCATGATACTTAGCTTACTAAACGCTTGGTTTTGTTTGAGATAAATGAAATTAAAGTGATCACAGTTCCGCCTGACTTCGAGATTTAGATTCAAAGACAATGGAAAACTAAGAAGTAAAAAGCATCGCAAAAAATTCAAATGGACCACTAGATACGGTACAAATTTCAGCATTCTGATACATGTTTCTTAGTCAAAATATGCGAAGAACACGATGCACATAACGAAAATTACCGAAATTGGCTCCTTACAAAGATAATAAATGATTCTTGATGCAAGAATTCAAATCACCCGCTCATGAAAACTCAATGCCCTACGTGATTCACATCGCACGCTAAACATTATCATGACAGTCTCTACGATATAGAAATCTGGCATCCTCAATCTTGACGCTTTTCCTCCGCTATAGGATTTTGCTTATAGTTTGAACAACACATGGTGGGACATGAACATTGCTCGACCGAGAGGCTTGCTGAAAACGTTGTAGTGAGCAATTTGACTCATGTAGAGCTTTGAGTTTCTTGTGAGCGAGCAGCTCAGATTCCTCGTGACCAATGTGAAATGAAAACGTTAATATCTTCGTTAGGAGTTGGTTTCAGTAATTTTCGTTGTGTGAATCGAGCTTTACGTGAAATAGTGACTGGGAAACAGGTATCAGAATGCTTAAATTCGTACCTTGTCTAGTGGTCCATAATGGTACAAGAGAGAGGGATAGAAAAGGATGTTAAGGTGATTCAATGGACACCATATTTTGTGTCAGAACGGCATGAGATATATTGCATCAATTGGTTTCATTTTTTCAGCTACTCGTCATTTTTCTCGAATTTTGCGATCGCAATTCTGTTGTCAGGAGACTAAAGCACTCACTAACAAATTTTAACGAAGAAATTCAAAGTAATAAAGGCGTGGTTTTTTTAGAGAGAAAACCACGCCCTTATTACGTTAAATTTCTTTGTTAAAATTGGTAAGTGAATGCTTTAGTCTCCTGACAACAGAATTGCGTTCTTAAAAATCGAGAAAATGACGAGTAGCTGAAAAAAAAATGGAGCCAATTGATGCGATATATTGCATGCCATTCTGACACAAAATATGGCGTCCATCGAATCACCTTAATGCACACAACGAACTTCCAAATACATTGCAATGCAATTTCTTACTGTAGAACACATGGCAAGCAAGAATTATGATTCTTAATGGCGTGGACACACTTTAATGACTCAAAATTAATAGTCACATTTCTTTTGATTGACTCTTTTTGGTCAAGCACACTTCAATTAATTTTAAGTTTTATTGACTTACATTTTCTTAAGAGCTGTGAGAATGGTTTCAGTGAAACACTGTCTGTCTTTCAAGTCACTTCATTCATTGAAAAAATATGTATTAGTTGAGAACAATTTGTGAGAATAGTGCATTTTTCAAATTACAATGTATTGTGAAATTCTAACCTTCTTTGCCCTTTTAGTCATGAGTGGCAGATGTTGTCCATCATACGGCATGTGTTTCCGATTTTGTTGCAATCCTACGTCGGGCATCCTACTGGTCCAGGTTCAATGATGGACAAATATTTTTCATTTGCCAATAATATTACAATACTAGAGAGGTTGTCAGCGATGCCTTTGAAATGATGGCATTAGTGCGTATCTGATGACAAAAGGCGATGGTTACACATGTGTACATAACAAGTGTGGGTCAATTACATCTTCAGAAGAAAAGAAAAGAGTAGGAAAAATACTGTTCGATTGGCAACTCCTGAGAAGAAACAAGGCAAGCTCAAATTTGACTAAGGTACAGATAAAGCCTTATTTTCCCCGCAAAATAATGCACTATTTCACAAGGTTGTTGCATACAGTTACGGCCATATTTCTTATGTTTCTTATTTTCTTGTTGGTACAGATAAATTGATGACAAAACGAAAAAACTACCTGTCTCAATTAAATTTCTAGGACTCCAATTATTTTTGATTCATTAATCAAATATTTGATCCATTAATCAAATGTTTCTTCTTCAATGCACTCATTGGCACAGTATTCTAAAGTTGCTATAACACAATGAAAAACTAAACCAAAATTGAGTTAGTAAAATTATTTGAATTCTACAGACAAAATATTACAGCGACCCATCAATGATTCTGCACCTCGTTAAACAAGATAACCTGGACCAACGAGAAAATGATGTTTGAGCAACAAAAGAAAGAAGATTAATTGTACCTGAATAAGAAGGGTGAACCATGGGTAAGGCTGGGTTTGATGTTGGACGCCAGAACCCTTCAACTCCGCAGGTTTGAATTTCGGGATAGGCTGGGAGACTTTAAGACCCGGTTAGCATGATATTTTGCAGACTTCGAATTGCCCGCCGAAACCCCAATCTTTGAAGACCAGTGTTCCTCCAACTGGATCAGCCAAGAGTGGGCAGAAGCCAGCTGTAGCAAAAGGAATAAAAAAATACAATGAGTGACAAATGGCCATAGATCCGAAGACAGCTCACTATAGAAGGTAAAAGGCAAGTTGCAGTCAAATCTAAGAGGAATTAAATTACATAGTATGATTCCCTGTTCTTCTTCTTGCTTAGGAAACAGAACCTACATTCCTAACTCAGCAGATGTAGAGTGAAAGAAGTGAATACATAATAGAATTTTTTACATTATATAATGATGTCGGTGCTTGAATTATATTATGTAAATGCCTACAATAAGATTTGGAGGAAATGAAAAAATAAAAAACACAACAAAAATGGGATACTAAAAAGAAGGGGGTGAGATGAGAGATCTAAAAACTTCTTAGGAATTCTTGGGAATAGAGCTAACATGAATTTTATGCATCAAGTTTGAATGAGAATCGAACTTTTTTTCATCATCCTTTTCAAACTAAAAAGTGTCAAGATAAATCAAAATGCAATACTGAATGTTACAATTTTATGTCGAAAAACTTACAAAGAACGTAAACGGTGAAAGCACAAGTGCCAGAGTTTCCAGCTTGATCAAATGCAACGTAGGGGATGTTGTAAGTTCCCAAGAGGAGAGTCTAACCTGGCCTGTGACTACTCATTTTCTCGACTCTGACAACACATACATTGTCTGTGAATCTTGGTTCATCCCAAGTGACATCTGCAAATCCATTTCGAGCATCAACCCACAAATCTCCAGGACAATACTCTTCAGGGGGAGGCATCTGTTGATTTGATATAGGAACATCATTAATTTATAGGAACTAAGCTAGATACTGACATGCAAAAGAATTTGTCATATTATTCGCACCACATTTGTCATTTGTATCCAACCCGATGAAGATCACCTAAAATTTGGATTACTTCTGCAAGAAGGCAGGTCTTAGTTGAGTTGTAAACATGGTAAAATTAAAATTTACCATCGATATATTGGAAAACAAGAGAGTTTATGTATGATTAAGCAATGATGATTTTATAATTAAATCAATATTGATAGGTAAAATACAAGGATAACAAATGCCAGATGATTCCTGATGAACAGGAAGGTTAAACAAAATGAAAAGTCGGTGATGATGCAGATGATTTTCTTCAGATTGATAAACTTTTATACGATTATATTACAATACTTCATACATGAGTCCCTCATACTATCTCTGTTAATCATTGAATCTTGTATCCAAGCAACCCTCGCCCCCAATTAGGTTTTCTTTAAATTTCATTAGCATACATTATCCATTTGGAGTTGATCACTGTGTGGTCCAGTGTACCCTGGTGGGCAAGTGTGTTGACTGCAGTGTGATGGCACAATTCTTTCAACGCCTCCTTAAACATTGTCATATCCAGCCCAAGTCAGAAGAAGACCCTGATAAAGAACTAAGAACTAACCTTCCCACATTCTCTGACCTGCAAATTTAAAAATCGATATTTGAGAGGGGACAGAGAAAGGCGGAGGTCTTGGAAAAAATATGAATGTGAGTATGTACTCTAAAAGGAGGTGTCATTAGACATAGTAACATTTTTTTTAAAAAAAAAAAATAAATAAACCGATTGTTATTCACTACAACATTATTTGACCTTCATATGTAGAATTTTCAGCCAATTAAATTAAAACGGCGACTGTTCCGATGAGCAATGTCATAATTTTCATTTCATTGCAAATGATGATATCAATTTGAATTTTTTATAGCTTACATTTTCAACTCTAGTCCACTGCAATGAAGAACAGCCAAAATTTCTTTAATTTCTTCTTCTTGAGGTCACAAAATTTTGTACCCTACCTGCAAGGGTTTAAATTAAACTTGAAACTCCTTCTTGATTAGCAGTAAATAGAAAGGGACTTCGCACAGAAGAATACCATAGCAAATTTGCCCTTTTTTTATTTTCAGTGGTTAAAATACCAAAAAAAAAAGAAAAAAAACCAAAACAAAACAAAAGAAAAAACCAACAACAACATACTTGTTTCTGAATTTCATTTGTAATGTCAAAATCATGGGACGATCTAGGACCTTGGTCTAATGTCCTTGGAAACCAGCTTCAGCATACGCCTTCGCAATGTTCCGTCTTGGTTTGCCCAAAACAACCCAGCCTTTACAAACAAAAGAATATGGATGTTCAGTCACAAAAATATTGGCTGACTGAAAAGGATGAATTAGCCATTTTTGACCAGATACTGAACTTTGAGATATTTTTCTGTTCTCTTATGTGATATGATACTTTTGCAGTTGACAATTAAACTTTTATTTAAAGACATAATACTTAATAGTAAAAAATTCTTTGAAATAATTTTGACAGTGTCTGCATGGTTACATAGGTAATTGAAAATATGTAAATATGGTTTTTTTAGACTTCTGCAAATCTTTTAAGAGTTTAAAATTAGAATGAGAATTCTTTTTGGTACATATGTGGAAGTAAAGAAGCACAAGAAGAAAAAAATCTGAACACAGGTGTATGAAATAGAAACTTACAATTCTGGGAGTTGTCTTCCAGTACCAAAGCCCTCATTTTTGCTGGCGATGAGTCCTTCTCTGACCAGTGTGAGAGTTCCTTGCTCCAAAGCAATGGCAATGTGGTGCCACTGACCATCATTATTTGTTTGTACTCTTGGAAGGCTAAAGGTACATCTTGAATTTCAGGGACGAGAGAAATCTAAACTCCAGTTGAATGAGGTTAGACAAGCTTGCTCTATGATCAGATCTGTGGAAAGAAGAATAAGCAAATAAGTATTGATACTTATTAGTAACTCAAAGCGGTTCCCATCATCACCATTACAAGAAAAAAGCTTAAAGCAGTCAGACTAGGCTGATAATACATTTACAATAAAAATTTCCATTACGTTTTTCAGAAACGCTTCTTATTATTTACTTTGAAGCAGAGCTGAAACATGAGGTGAGTTGTACAGAAAAAACTTACGTCACACTGTATAAGGTGAAGAAGACACCAGGTTCATTGCGGTGGGAGAACTGTGCCCACATGGGAATAGTGAAGGTAGTTATTCCGGAAATTCGGAATGGTACACTAAGAACGGCACTACTGGCTTGGGATTCAGGGAAACTTAGATGATAATCAACTTGAATTGCTAAAAAGAGAAACAAGCGTTACGTTGAAATAGATAAAACAGTTGACAGTTGCAATTATCATGGAAATTGGTCCGATAGATAGAAAAAAATTATGGAGAAAAATGTAATATTTCAGTGAGAGCTTACACAGGGTGTCTAGTATTTTTTAATTTTGATAAATCCTGATATTTTCCTGATATTTTGTAAAAAATTACTGGTTTTTTCATTTTGAAAATTCCTGATATTTTCCAGATTTTTGATGAGGCCATCACTATACGACACAAGCGCTACAGGTGAGAAATTATCGGAAACAAAGACGGCGCGACGACTCCTGGCACAGTAGGCAAAAAGCAGTAAGACTTCTCCGCGGAGGAGATTCGCGTAAGAAAAATTCCTTATAAAACGTCCGATTTTCCTGATCGGCCAAAATTGCTTATATTTTCCGGTTTTTCCTGATACTAGACACACTGGTACAGTAATGATGCTGGAAAAGAATGACGGAAAGGTTCGTAAAAGCTCCATGGAAAATTAAACAGGATAATAACACTTTGTTTTGTTTTTTAAATGATATAAAAAATGAACAGATAATACACTTTGGCTAATAAAATGAGGGTCCAATGTTGTTGGTGGCACCTACCCCTTTACATAGCATGTAGTGCTTGGCGCTCAGAACAAAATGAAATGTCTAACTCAATTTTCAATTTTTGGTATTTAAGTACTTAGCCCGATGAATTTATTCGCTTTAGAGACTGTGAATGCAAGAGGAGTGCAACTTGAAAAACTTACTTCTTCTGCTGTCATCTCCTGTGAGATTGAATGGGCACTGACAATAGAACCTGCCTGTCGAATTTACGCAAGTTGCCGTTGGTGGGCTTGAGTTTTCATGACAGTCAACTCTGTACTCATTAAAATTTTTGCCTGAAAAGAGGGAAAACAAAATTGAAGAATTAAAACATAAGTAAAGAATAGATAATCTTTTGCAAGACATTGAGAGCACACGAAAGTGACTCCACACTTAGGCTGAGGTGCATTTTTTACATTCAGTCATCTATTACACAAGTACAGGAGTACCTCAATTGACCGCCAATTTATGGTGGGGGTCACTTCAGATATTCAAGAAGTCAAATACTCACAATCTTCGAAAAAGACTGAAAAATACCGCTGAAAAGATGAAGGTAAATAAAGGAAACCCTTCATTAGAATAATCCTTCGTAAAGAACCTTCAAATCTCTCCGCCTTTCCTCGGTTGGCTGTTTAATTTTCTAAATGAGACTTTTCATTTTTAGGCTATGCAGGGAATAAAAAGTCAATCCCTAAAGCAGAAACCCTTATCGGGGGGCTGAAGGAGGGAATTTGAAAAATTATACTGTGCATTACATGAAAACAATTCGATTTTGATTTTTCAAATTTCCAAGTCTAAATAATCGTGGTCCTTTAAATTTAATCTCTGTGATAATTTCTGACACATTCTTTGTCAAATCCATCCACTTGGGAGGATTTTCAATTTCCATGGTTGATGTGTTATACAAACCTGTGAATGGACGAGGGCAAATACACTTGTACCCAGGGCAATTGTCAACACACGGAGGACCATTCTTGCAGACATCTGCTCTGCAAGCGTCAAACTCATACTGGCTTTCGATACTTTCATAGTCCACAGGGCACATACAGTTCAACCTTGAGACAAAATCTTGGCAGTGACCTCCGTGCATGCAAGGAATGCCGATGCATCGTTCAAGAGCAGTTTTACATTGTTTACTGGCTGTTCCAGATGGACACCTGAAAGATTTAATTCATACATAAGTAGGGCTGTGCAAATGTGGTTTTTTTAATTTGAATCGAATCGAATATTTTGAAAAAGTTTCGAATTCGAATCGAACCGAATATTTTTAGTTTTTATCTACTTTTGACCAAAAACCAACCCGTGTTGGTCGAAGTAAAAACTGAATAAATAATTTTCTTCCTTTGTAACATTCATATTTTTAATAAAGAAATTACTAAATATTATAGATATAGATAGATCAAGCATTAATCAATTCATTTATTTATCAAATGGATTTGCATACATTTTGATTTGCTGGGGAAAGAAAGAAGGGAGAAAAAATTCTTTCCTTTAATTAAGGATGAGCAATTGATCGAACTGTCGCGGAACCGTAAGACTGCTGTTTACTTTCCGAAAATCCGTTCTATTAACTTTTACTTCACATCAATGCTTATCTTGCAAAGACAGTCCTGCAACAGTGTAAAGACAGGGGTGCCGCGCAGGGCGTGCCATTTGTCCGCCATGTTGATGAAGTATTCAATAGAACTCAAGTGGCGGCAAGTTTGAATTGACCCGTCTAATGCGAGGCGCATGCCCTACATGAACCAATGAGTGTTGGCCTTTGTTTACCTGACCTCAAAACAAGTGGTTTGAACTGCACGCCTGTTTGAGTTCTTCCAAGTACGTCATCAATATGGCAGAATGCACGAATATTCGGTCTTTTCTTTTAGAATTTCAAAGTTTTGTCAATGTTGTCGAATAATTCGAATATTCGAAGTTTCTACGTTCGGGTTCGAATCGAATAACGGAAAAATTTTTCGAATTCGAGTATTGGAAAAATTATTCGCACTCAAATAATCAGGATTTTCGAATATTCGCACATCCCTATACATAAGTTGATTTATAGACAGGGCCGATACAGATTTTGAGTCTGGATAAAACGAGGAAGGAAACGTACGGCTCCAAAATACTTGGTCAGTGATGAAATTTTTCTAGTACCTAAGGAGATTGACAAAATTAGGGAAAATGACGCAACAGACTGCCTAGACATCTGTTTGAACTTGGCCAGAATTGTTTAAAGTTGCCAAAAGACAAGCCACTGATTGACAAATTGATTAAGAGACCCGGAAAAGTTGAGTATCAAAATTATAGTAAGTCTTCACCCCACAGTGTAGAATTACCTGATGTAAATTTACTGACTGAGCGATAAAAGTCAGATACGAACCTTAGCTTTTCTGTCTTTCATTTGGGAACGAACATTTAATAAGTAATGATATGTACTTACACACACAAGAAATCTCTGAAGAGATTAATACAGTTAGCAACATTCTGGCAAGGTTTATTCTGGTATGAACCTCAACTGATTCGCATCGCTGACCGATCGAACCAGGTTCTCAATCGCAAGAGAACTTTCCAATTCCGTCTTTGCAAATACCTATGTTCATGCATGGAGATGAAGCACAGTCATCAATGTTTGTCTGGTGGAACAAAAGACTAAAAAAGTTAGTATTATCAGAAAAAAAGCTTGGTTAAAAGATCACTGAATTCTACATGGATATCGCTCAATGAAAATCTACATTTTTTAATGTGTACATTCCAAATGTGAAGACTAATTAAAGATTGACTGATCCAAAAAAGGCAAAAATAAAGCCCTGTGCAAATGTTTTTTTGTCTACATGGGTGTTGCACAAAATACTGTCAAAAGAACTAAGGAGAATAGAATGACGATAGCTGTTGGGAGGTTTGTTGCAAGTTTCTCCCTTAAACAAAGAGATAAAATGATTTGATCAAACAAAGGGATTTTTATGCATTTAAAATTTAATGAAATAGTGCAAACTAAACATGATTAATATTTCCTATTTTTTAAGGAGTAAATTTTGAACTTACTTCACAGATTGGCAGCAATGCACATTGCTTATCCAAATACGTCAAATGAGAGATTGCCTTCTCCACAGACTCCGAGGAGATTCTGTTTGGATTGAGTCAACGAAATTAAACATGAACTCATCATCACAAAAAAATTTCTTGTCATCGTGACACATTCATGGAAGTGGATGGATTAGAATGGGGATTCCTTGCTGCCACTCTCTTCTTTCTGAAATTTTCACTTGATTTCTGAGCCATCCGCCGTTCTTCATTTTCAGGTTGTCTGAAACAGAAACAGATTTCTAGATGTTTGCTTACTCATTCTTCAACAATTAAATCTTCAACACTGAGTCAGCCTTTACACTAAGTTGTATTGAACAATTTACGATTCTTCTATGGCTACATATGCATTTGCACAATATTAAGGAAGAGAATAGGAATGGATTTCTTGGAACTTATGTGGAAACTTATGTGGACGATGTTGAGAATGAGAGTACGAATGTTGAGTAGTTTTTCTACTTAAAGATAAAGTATGACACAAAGTCTGCAACATCGCAAAACTGAAATACATGATTTGATAGTTTCACCGTCGATATGTCTTTGTGAGGAATCAATGTTTAGATTTATCAGGTTGTGTAATTTGAAAGTGAAGGAAAGAATAATTTAGTTTTCAAAGAATTTCCTTGAATTTAAATGACAATTACTGTTTTTGTTCTTACCTTGGAAAAAATTTTTTGGCTGAGATTCTCACAGTAGCATCTATGCAGATTCTATTATCGAGCTTAAAAGCGAAACTTTCATGACAAGGCAAATAAGCTCATTTGAAAGCAACAGTTTTCCTCTGTGGCAGTTACAAGTATGAACAGGTTTATTATAATTTTCATTCATTCTCGTGTCAGGGTCACCTTATTAACTCTTTGAAGATATTTATTGGGAAATGAAGTTTCAGTGGGAATGCAGGTACGGTAACAGGCAAATAATGAAAGCCTCTCATATGTCTCTATTCATAGTTACACATTACCTTTATGCTGACTCTGATGAAAAATATTGATCCTTGATGGAAGATGAAAAAATTTGCTAAAATGGGTACAAATGAAGTACCATCACAATTTCTGTTGCTGGAAACGTAAGATGGTGGGGGATTGTCTTGTCCATACGCAGCATCTGAAACAAGAAAGTAGAATTTTAAAGTTTTCGTCGATTTCTGTGGCACAAGAGTTTCCTCGTACAAGTAAAAAATATTCAGTTGCTTCAAGATTTGAATGATTAATAGAAGAATCTAAAAGATGATGATCCTTTCTGTTTAAGTTACTTAAACAAAGTTGCTTTCTGCATAGAAATGTCCAATAAGAATGATACATTTTTACACCAATAGTCAGTTCCAGCTTCGTAAAAGGCCTCCTCCACCCCTACAGCCTTCTCTCGTCCTCACCAACAACAGACACTCAGCCAGCAGAACCCATCAGTCAACACAAGATGACAACCCATTCTTTTGGCTACCTATGAGCATCAATAAGAAACTTTGAAATTTCCTTTGGAATTATGTTCATGGCCTCCTCCTCCCCTACAGCCAAACCTATACCTCACCAATTGTCACTGGTAACGGTGCCACCTTTCAACCCAATACAAAAAGATCCCATGATGGGAGAACTGAAACTCAATAGTCTGGAATGCGCCAGACTTGAAAACGGCATTGGACGATAAGTTAGGGGAACACTGAGTATTACCCACATCAAAAGAAGTTGTACTTATCAAGGATTTTTTGGAGATGTTCCAGTTGTTTGATTTTTTGAATAGCTTTGAAACTCTTATTATTCTTCTTGCACAAATAGCAAATGTACGCAAGTTTCTTTTGATTCCTAGCCTTCTCAATCATAACAGATGGGTTTAAGGTGGTGTCGTTAAGACATTCAGAGGATATATGAACGTATCTGGAACAAAAGTCACAACTTATCCACCAGGTGTCACGCTTCCCAACATCAGATTCATATTCTCCAAGGCATGATAGACAGTAGTTGAAGACGTCACTGGAAGCGGCTAACAGGATATATCGCAATACCTTGCGATATTCACTAGGACAGAAAAGTTGGCCAGGAGGAAATGAAGGAGATACAGGGTAGTTCTTCAAAACCATGGAGATGTAAAACACAATGTATACACCACAGTTGTAATTGTCGATTTGTTGAGGAAACGTCCAAGCTGGGTAGGACCAGTCGAGGGAGCTTAAACGATTATTTCCTGTTAATTCTAAAAACTTTTGAAACATTACGAGTTGCAGGTACGAGTAACCTGTAGCACCTATTAGAGGGTCCAAATGATAAAATTCTGCTGTTTTGAAATTGACGACCACCATGCACCAATGATCACCTTTCGTCTGGTCTTGTTCTGGCACATGAATTTTCTGTCCTTTGCAATAAGGCATTATCATGACCTCTGTGGTTGGTGGAACATCAGCTATTAATTCAGGAGGAAGGTCATCATTGAAAATGAAGCTTCCAGTTTCCGTTCGAAGAAACAAGACTTTAGTTTCATCAATATCATATTTACTGATGAAGAGTTGAGCAGCTGCGTGTATTATTTCGCTTGTCAAGTACAAATCGGTTGGTCGCCCTTTATCCGCAAGAACACTGAAAGACTCATGACCCAAGAGTAGTGGAGCTTCAAAATCTGGAACGCAATAATTTCGAGTGACTAAATAGTTCAAATTGCGAGGACGCTCTTTCAAACGGTTGGGTACGGAGATGACAGAAGAATAGTAATCGATGTCTAAGATGGTTCCGTGTTTACACAGAACAGATTTTAAGTACTCTCTAAACGTACACTTGGTTTCTTTCAGCAATGAAATAACAGTTGCAAAATTGAAGCCCTGTAGGTTTCTAAGCGTATTTCGAAACGTTAGGTTCCTCTCAACAATTTTCCTTCTCCTACTTCGAGCCAATTTCACCATTTCAGCTTGCGGTAATGGACTTAGTACTTCCACACCAGTATCATCGTCATCATTATCGATTTCAGCAGCCTTACCTTCACCACGTGATAAGTCAAGATTAACAGTGTTTGATCTATCAGATCCTTCTTGCATTTCAAGAGAGTGGGCAGGTAGAGACACACCAGAGGGATCAGGCTGATCAGTAAGAACGGTATCTCCTTGTCCAGATACTTCCACATTGACCTGCTGGACTGGTGTAGACTCTCCATTTGAAGTGGACTCTTTCGGCTCGGATTTTACAGAGAAAAATTTCCGAATGTGCGAATATTTTTGTGTGGCACTTCCCACCGGAGTGACAGGCATTTTCCCCTTGCGACTCCACTTCTCAACAGTTTGTAGACTGTAAGCAGAAGATGGTGCCTCTCCGTCAGCTTCCTTTTCAAGCGGCATCCACTCACATTCAGCAGGCTCATCCGCATCTTCTTCGAGAAAGACATGATCTGCATCACGCTTCTTTTTGAGGGGTGCTCCATGATGTTCATTATCATCACCTTTGGACTGTCGCTTTCTATTCTTGCTTTGTTGTCGAGGCCTTCGATCTGGTACATGGTTGTCAACCTGCTTTTTAACAGCAACAACATGATCATTGTCTTTCCTAAGAAATCTGTCAATGCGGATATTTCTTCTTCCAGCCAAAAAAATGTTCTTAACTATGTTGAAGAAAGTTTCGATAAGGCCATTATTAAGTTTAACACCTTCCGGCAGCAGGAGGGCAGTCCACAAGGGTACAATGTGGGTGTAATAAGTGAGAATGTAAATTGCAAATGACGGATTGAAAAAAATATTTTTATCCAAGTTGGATTTACTCTTCTTGGAGAGGAAGTCGTCGTGAGATTTGAGAATGTCACTGAAAATTTTCTCAAAGTCTAGGTAAAACGGATTTTTCTTATATTTGATTTTATCTTCCTCGACGTTGAAGAAAAGCGGTTGATCATCGCTCTTCTCGGTTTCTTTTGCCTCGGAAGTTTTACTCTTCTCAACCTCTGGAGATTTTGAACAATATCCATAGAGCTTTTTCTTAGACTCATTGACAAGTGGACATACAACACTGAAGAGGAGTAGAGTGAATAAGTGTTGGAAAATGTTCTTCATGTCACTATAAGAAGAAGTATGCACAATTAGTGTGAAAATATCCATGATTATTGATTTCACAAATTTGTAGTCATCCTTTGATAAATTGTCTTTCTTCTTTAAACGAGACACCTCTTTCTTGAAAGCATCGACAGGGTTCGTTGGGGTTTCCTGTTTATTGGAGTTACATTGCGACTTACTATCTTCTCTGTTATTTGGTGCATCGCTTGGAGGTGGTGGATCATTAGTTCGGACTTTGGGCGACGGATAATAATGGTTCTTGATGGATTGCCCGATTGCCTTCTTGAAATGGGCATAGTCCAGGTGGGGAATCACAAATTTAGAAAGACATCCCATCACCCACTCATCAGAGATGCCTTTGATAACAAAACTGTGAATCATCTGCAAAAAAAACCACAACCTCATTCCATTAAAGGCTAAAACAACAGCATTCAGTTCGGCATACGAGATGTCCAACACAATGAAATGACCGCCCAGGGAGACATGGTTACTTTCAGCAAAATACCTGAAAGAACTCAGCCAGTTGGAAATGCTGACAGCGTCATGGTTAGAACTCACTAATTCTGCCAGCGGGACTATGTGATTTTCGTTGGGCGCTGTGAACTTGAAAACTATGGAGTAATAATAGACAACATGATCCGAAAGGCAAACTTTCCGCACCACACTCCCTGTTGCATCCAAGTGCAAAGTTACTCCAACACTTTCAGATTTCTTGGAGAGGAGGGCCTTGGCACGTTTGAACAAATGCAACCTGTTCAAACAGTAGATATAAACCGCTAACGGGTCCTGAACAACCCAGATATACTGGATACCCTGGTAGGTTTTCTTCACTTGCTCCCTCCTCATGGAAATTGCAGACAAAAATGGGTCTGAGTGAAGATCATCCTGTCCTCTGGCTTCATGAGCTAACTTGGCATATGTTCCAAGGGGACGGATTTCTTGGGCATTCCCCTGAGACAATGCAGTTTCGTCGGCTTTATGGATCATCTTCTCTCTTAAATCAAGAGGTTTGGCATACTGGGCTATCTCATACAATTCTTTACGATGAGGACCGTTCAGGGGTCGCCACTCAGGTGTCACTCCATGTCGTTTTTCCACCTGATCACAATAGACGTCCAGGGTAGGTTTCGAGTCACTGCCATCATTGACAGTTATAACAAGCCTGAAGCGCCTACAACCTTTGTGATTACAGTGGGCCAAAACGGTTATTTTAGTATTGGAGTCACTATTCCACATGTAGTGTCGGTCACAAATTATGACACATGCAGCCTCAACAACTTTGACCGACTCGCTGAGACCATATCCGTATTTCCTCGGCAATAGCTTACTGCCACCCCAAATCATGGACCAATTTTTTTCATTGATGATGCAGCTCCCTAAAAAATTGTCACAAACGGTCCTTGTGGACGGACGAGCACTGTTGTGGGGTTTATGATGATTGGCTGCATGAGGTAAGTCTTCCGACAATGCTTCAAAAGGCAAACTCGATACATCCCCGCTACCATCTGCAGGCTTTGTAATCGGGTCAGGAACATTATCTCCTAGGATCTTTTCAACAGTTGGAGAGGGGACCGAATCATCGGACACATCTGGTAGGAGGACACTATTTAGTGGGGTGTTTGTCTTCACCCCAGTTGCAGAACTTGAATGACTATTTTTTGCGGTGTTTGGCTTCACCGGAGTTGTAGAACTTGAATCAATGTTTTTTACGGTGTTTAGCTTCACCGGAGTTGGAGAGCTGGAATCAATGTTTTTTACGGTGTTTGGCTTCACCGGAGTTGGAGAATCTGAATGACTATTTTTTACGGTGTTTGGCTTCACCGGAGTTGGAGAATCTGAATGACTATTTTTTACGGTGTTTGGCTTCACCGGAGTTGGAGAATCTGAATGACTATTTTTTCCGGTGTTTGGCTTCACCGGAGTTGGAGAATCTGAATGACTATTTTTTACGGTGTTTGGCTTCACCGGAGTTGGAGAATCTGCATGACTATTTTTTACGGTGTTTGGCTTCACTGGAGGTGTGGAAGTTGAAGAACGTTGCAGCACCTTACGGATTCGATTCTTGGCTTCATTTGTAGGCTTGAGACCCAATTTCAGGCAAATCTTCACATATTCGTCTGAAGAGTATGGACTCTTTGCCAGGATTGCTGCCTCAGAGAATTTTAATGCCTGTAGGTGTTGTTTCAGTATGGAGTAAGAAATGGGCCTACAGAACTGGCCGGCATTTTTTTTCTTACCCATGATGGTGATTTCTACATGTGAAGTACTAGAGTGATACAAAAAGAAATGGTTCAACTTTGAGAGATAATGTAAAGATGGAAAAGATAGCTGCTTAAGAAGATAACTAAATAAATTTATTTTCTCATTGAAAGTTGTGGAACATAGGTAGGAGCACTTCATAATGATTTAAGATTTCAGGGTAGGCAGACAAATAAAATATCGATGGCTAAAGTGCAAAACGTGGTATCTCCAATGCAAAGTTTGGAAACTATATACATTCTACATAAGGGTTCATATTTTACCTTTTCGAATGGTAGCAAGCGAAGTTTGCAGGTTGAAATTAATTACACTCTGCTATCAGAGAAAATAAATGAAGGATAATTTCAAGAAATTAGGTCAAACAGTTTTCAGAGGAAAAAATTAAGTGCTACAGACAGTCAGCAAACAAGGAAACAAAGATGGGTGGTTTCCCACTTTGGCCATTGATATAAACGTGCATCACTCAAGAGAAATTTTCACTGTGCAAGGGTTTTAGTAGATTCTTTGGGCACGGTTAGGGACTGAAAGGCTATGTATGTATTAGAGGCGGAAGTTTGTCGGCAGTCAACCACAAGTTGAGGCATAAAGGTAAACGTGGTTATTTGATACGAGATAATAATGGTTGGCAGCATTTGAGCAACCTAAGATGAGTAAGGCTGGTGAAAAACAGGTCAAATTCCCTACTTCAGTTAAGGGTATGATTTTCTTGACATGATGTGGAATCATAACGTTAGATTTCACAATTATCGGTCAATAGATGTTAACAATATGGAGATCCTGCTTAAGATGAAACAATCAAAAAGAATTGCAAGATAGGGTGATTCATGAAAGTTCTTGACTTGATGGAAGCACCCATTAAGTAAAAATTTCAGCAGGCTTTGCAATTTCGAAGAAAACCATAAGGATAACCACCTCTGGACTTGAAGCAGCGGAATCATTCTAAACAAAAGATGTGTCCAAAATCTAGAGGAATGAAAGCAAAATCCTGTTTGGAAAAAAACAAAGCGTTGAATCCAAAAATTGATAAAAACATGGAATGGGACTTTTCACGAAAAGGGATTGTTCCTTGATTTCTCTCTTTTGTGCAAATTTCATGGTTCAGAATGATTCGTAAGGCTCAAGCAAAGCGGCTAACATTGTTCATAGGGGTGGAAAAGCTGAATCTTTAGAGTTGTTTCTATAATCAATGAGATAATTAGAACTGGGGAAAGAAAAGAATAGACAAATGTCACAACCAAAGATTGCACCATTCAACAGATACCTACATGCCAGCCAATGGGCCAACTGATGATTGATGCATTCAGACTAATGTGACTTTGGTCTATTCTATTCTTTACCCAGTTCTAGTAAGACAGAAAGGAGCTTTTCAGTATCGCAGAAAGAGGTGGATCACAATGTAACGCATTGGATCAAGATCCACTGTGATCTAAACAGTTCCACAGGGAAAACACTTCAAAGGGTCATAATCACAGTGGTGAATACATTTGTTAGCGTTTCATAGCATAGACTGTAGCTAGCTGTGGTAGGTTCAGATCACACTGCAAGGCGATACACACCATCCTCGGGAGAGGGATTCATCCAATGTCCTGATCCACTGGAATGCAGCCAGGGATCAGAATATAAAATACACATGTTCATTGACATCCACAATGTTCAGGATAAGAAAATGCCCTATGGACAACGCCAGGCACAGTGACACATCATATTGATCTGCTTATTCTCTTTTGGAACAGTCTGCATGATTGAACAGGGCCGATAATTTCAATGATACTTAGTTATAGTAATGACTCCTTTGCGTATGTAATATTAACGAGCAGACAGTAGAGCTCATGCCAAATATGATTACTGACATAGACGCATTTAGTGTGACGTCACATCTCGATTTAATTTCAATATATCGAAAGTCGAAATGTGCCCCAACAAAGCAACACAATGTCGTCCAAAGACAAAGTACTATGTCACGAGCTTATTATATTATCAATTCATGTGAATGTGGTCTCAAACGTTTTGGAAAACAACTCGCTTTCATAACTTTACGGTCTCATGGTTTAATGTTTCAGTTTTGGGCTAGTTTTAGCATTCTTTCATCAATTGTTCATTTGATATAAAATTTGACAGTTTATTTAAATTCGCAGTAAAACAAGAATTATGAAAGTATATTGATGCACTTGATTCTGATAAGATATACTTAAATATACACCCATGTTCCCATTTAAGTAAAAATACAAAAGTGAATCGGACATCATACCTTGATGACAAAAATTTTGTTTTTCTTGGCTTGGTCTGCTTGTGTCCCTGCTACAACGTAAGCAGTTCTAGGGAATGGCTCTCGATTTTCACCAAACGAATCCCTCCGGATATCAAAACTTAGACAAGGTGAACCTGGAAAATGAAGAAAGTTTCACTAAAGTTGTTTCAATTGCTTTTCTTAACATAGATCAAGGAAATATGATGACTGAAGAGCAGGCCTATGATCTCCATAGCGGTGTCTCAAACGCTCTCCTCCTATATCCTGTTTTTTCAAAGAGGCAAGTCAACTACACTTGCAGCACGGAAATTTCCACAGCATTCTCTGCTAATTAAGAAGGAGAATGAAGGTGCTTAGTTTTCAAGAAATTAAGCTGACTGGTTTTCCAGAGGAAAAGTAAAGTATGACAGAGACTCCGCAATGTCGCAAACAGGGATACGTATTTTCGCACTTTTGTCATCGATGGTACTTAGGGAGCTGAGGAGTTTCAGGGCTACATTTGGATACTGATGACTACCCAACTACACTAAATCCTTGTTTATTCCTTTCAAAAGGACAAATTTTTTGTTCCAATATAGACCTCATTGACCAGAGGATAGTCTTTATTGACCTTCTTTCAAGTCTTATGATTGGCTTAAGGATGTTGCTGCTGGTGCCTCCTTAGACCGCTATGCCATAATTGAGAAGAGACTGAAAGAAGGACATAAAGACTATTCGCAGAGAGTCAAGGCTAAGGAAACGTTTCAGTAAGATGATGGAGTACATGACCTTGCCGAGCTGTCCTTCAATTTTTTTTGACATGCTCGCTTCATGTTAATCCTCTATTTAACATTATCCCTAGGTATTCTGCTGGATGTTCTAATTAAAGATAATCGCAGTAAAAGTTTGGTACAGTTACATTTTGGAGGTTATGTTTGTTTGTTGGGGCACATTTCGACTTTTTTGAGATATCACACCAACAATACCACTCCGTGAGGTCACCACTAAGTGCATCTGTAGGGCTTTTTTTTTATCGCGGATGAGGGTGGATCGCACTGGATGGGAATCCTGAGCAATCCCCAGTGTTCTAAGTGATAAAAAAATCCAACTTGGAATTCGGTTAGATTTGTTATTGTTTTGATTTGTTGGGGACGGCAACTTCCTCGCATTAGGTTAGGATCACAGTGGATCACGAGCTTGCCCCTCCTCGGAAGAGCAATCCAGCGTTCCGCCCTGATCCACCTGGAACGCTTGGATCACGGCTGAGGAACGGAATAAAAAAATACCGATGTTCATCGCGATCCATCCACCGCGTTCCGCATAAAAAAAAAGCCCTTATGAGACGGCAACACAGGATCAGCCATATTGATTGAGTATGAAGTTTAGTTTCTATGCGAAAATGACATGAACCGATCCTTCAAAACCGTCTGGAAGTGGAATAACTTATTGGCGTGGACTATACAATAGGAAAACCTGATCATTAATGGGCTGCGAGAGACGTTACACCAGCAGACGTCTTGCGTATGTGTTGAAAGAATAATAGGCTTCATGATGCTTCATGACGTGAGAAGCAAACGTACATTCAAGTAATCAATGATTCAGAAGCCAGATACGAAGTCCACGTTTTAGAAAATGAGAGCCGTAACGGGTAAGCGTAATGGCCATCTTCACTTAACGTACTTAGGGAGATTAAAAAACAACGAAATATATTATTAACTTACATCAGCTAGATCCAGAACACTAACAATCCACACGAACGAGGCGAACGCAAACCGCCATCTTGCCTTTATTAGTGGTTGTGGTTGGTTAGTGCCTAGTGGAGCTCGTTGAATGGCGGGGCGGCGTCATCATGCAAAAATGATCCAGTAGAGTGAGCGATAGTCGATGTATCATGGCGCGATTTTTAAAATTGCGGGGTTTCTCTTCTGTGCCCGCAAATTCAGTCAAGCCTCATAATGCATCAACCAAAGAAAACAAAAAAAAAGGAAGAAAGAAAAAAGAGAACATTATAATTTTAAAAACGTTAGCATAACAAAGTGCTTGGGAAGATTTTACATTAATAGCGTGACGGTAGATGGGATTAGGCACCCATGTTAAACGTGAAGCGGAAATTGACATACTTAAAAATTTGCAGAATTTCAGACGAATAGGTACTACTGAAAGTGAGAAAATGGTAAGTTAAGTCGGATTGAAAAAATTTGCTTCTTGCTTATAAAACCTTTTTCAGAAAGTCATAGCGAAAAAGGTTTACTAATTAAAAGCAGGACGATGCATTTCTTGCTTGTTCGAGCTCCTAGAATGCTCCCGAGTAGGTTTCAGCCCCGAAACCGAATGGACATGTAACAGTTTTCATTTAACATTCGTTGTTACGAACGCACGAATGTTTTATGATAGGTAACGAATATAGGTAGGCGTAAGGAATAGGGAATTTTCCGTGATTTTCCGTGGTGAAATGAATTTTTTTTCGCTAAGCCGGACTCCTAGGATACTCTCGAGTAAGTGTCACCGAATGGACATGCAACAGTTTTCCCTTGGAAAAATCATTTCATCATTGTAGGTAACGAATATAGGTAGGCGTAAGGAATAGGGAATATTCCGAGATTTTCCGCGCTGACGTGATGTTTTTTTTGCCAAGTTGGAGTCCAAGGATGCTCGTAGGTAGATCTCAGCCCCGAAACCGAATGGACATGAAACAGTTTTCCCTTGGAAAAATCATTTAATCATTGTAGGTAAGGATTTCTGGGCGTCCTAAAAAATGAAGAATTCTCCGAGATTTT